AAAAAAAAAAAAAAAAAAAAAAAAAAAAAAAAAAAAAAAGATATCGACACCAGAGAAGAAAACCGTTTTTGCGCCAACTCGATGCAATTAAAGCATAGCCGGCGGCTGCTTAAACATACAAAATTAAATGCACAGGTGTAAAAATTAAAAAGGTATGTTAATTTGGTGAGAAGTAGAATAAAATACGCACTATTAGGGTCGAAATTATTGACGTTTTCATGACAGTCGTTAACATTAAAAATATATCATCCTTACCCATGTCAGATCGGTAACCGTTGGACAGACTTTCTCAATTTCACTTGTGGTGAAATAATATAACAATCTTTTGGCATATCCTAGCTCGGGCTTCACGCTACAGAATTAAAATTATAAAGTTAGGTGTAAATATTTCGAAACATTCAATGGCAACACAATCGCAAACTTGAAAAGGTTATTGACGTTCATTTGAGCTCCACGAGATCTTTGCGTAATGTCAAGTCAAAGAATAACATATAAGATCCAATCTTACCATGTCTGGTCCTAACTTACCACATAAGGTCCCGATATACAGCAACCCATTGGTGCATGGCGCACACCATTACCACAAATATCAAGAATAACCCGATATTCATTGTGGTAATCGAAGATTGAAACAAAAGAAGTAAATAGCAGGGGAGAGACTGATCATCTCCGCCTTCGCCGATAGCTAAGCAGCTTAGCAACAAGTATGTGACGTCACAAGTGGGTATATCTATTTTACCGATCATGACGTCATGCTATTGTCTTTTACCTAATAAGTGCAAGCGGTTACACGTTGCTGACAATGTGTATGGTACCAAAATTTCTTCTGTTATGAGTCTGTGGCAGGGATAGCCTGTCCAAGTATCATGGATAGTGTTAGTAATTAAATTATGTTTTACGAAAGGTGGATGAATGAAGTAATATGAGTGGAGTTTAATATGTAATTATGTCTTGTTTGTTCAGGTGTACATGTATTGTTTGTAGTATCTAGTCTTGTTCAGTGCCATTGTCCATGTGTCAGTTGTTCAGTGCCATGTGCTGTTGTTTATGTTTTGTTCTGTAACCTGTGACCTGTTTGTGACCTGTAACCCCATACTTACCTGTTGGTCATGTGACCTTTCTTACCTGCCCGTGCAACTCACCTGAGTGAAAAATCAGTTCTGGCAGACATGTTGGAGGGGTTGACCATATAGAAAAGGTAGGAGTTTATATGTTCAAAATTAATGTAATTTTGAAGATACTCTTTTCATGTAATAGCTACATGTAACTCTCCAAATTAGTATGAGATATTTTGAGTAACTATTATAGTGTACTTTATTGATGTACTGAGTAATGTTCAGGCTATATGCTCTGTGCAGATTTGGAAATTCGAAATAACTTCTTTCTATTTCCATTTTAACGATAATGTAAATATATCAGACTAAATCAATTACATACTCAGGGGCGGGTCCAGGTGAGGGCGTAATGGGCGTACACCCCCGTTTTAAAATAAAAAAAATAACTATCGTAATCTGCTAATATTGTATTGAATATGGCAATTTATCATATTCATTAATTAAACACATACTCTGAGTCACTTTAACTATAAAATATGCATGCTCCAAGTCAGGAACCGTTACATTAGTGCACTTCACAATTAGTTTATGTTTTTTGGCCAAAAAAAGTCCAAATTTTTTTTTGCCTCGCTCCGCTCGGCCATAGATTGAATCATACGCCACCTCTTTCAAATATCCTAGAAACAGTGCAGTGTAGTATTCAAAGTATAAACCGTATTCTGTCTGCACAAGTTGTACATAGTACCACGTTACCAGTTCACCATGTTTCGCAGCTTATGAACGTTAATGTCCTGTGTTGTAAACAGCAAAAAAAACATCGATTCTGTTAGCACTGTTTCATATTAACATTGAAATGTGCTGAAGCAAACACACAGGTGCTGTTAACTGAACTGTAGTGTATGTGCGAAGATTGTATAGTGCAACAGTTAGTGGGGCAGGATCAGCAAGACGATGTTCCAGCACACAGTTGTTTTCATTTATTACTTCCTGTGTTGTTGCAATTTCACCGACTATATTGCTATTGCAAATTATAACATTATACAGTGTGCCAGAGGTTACTCTGTTTGTGTGCTGTCCTAGAACTCATTCATTCTCGAGACCGTAGCTGTACATTTTTTGTTTACATGTTATCCAACCAAGTACACGCGTACGGGTACCGGAAACTGACGTTTGACACGTACTACCGGAAGTGAACTGTCAACTGACAGTAGCACAATAGTGTGATCGTGTATGGATATATATTGCTGCTACCATCGTGACATTTTTCAATATTATTTCGCCGCTGAAGACCAGGATTTCTGATTGACATTGAATCATTAGTAGGTTAACTTTAAAATCATATTTGAAAAGTGTTATTTCTGATTTGTGATTTAGCCTTATATCAAATTATTAATTGAAATTGTGTTGGTAACATAATTTGGCACTGTCTTGTGTTGGAGGGTTGTAATACAATAAGCAGTACGTATATATTAATGAGGGAAGACAGGGTCTGCTTTTGGCGTCCCCGAGTGTGCTTTAATTTATTCCGCACTCATCTCCATCCAACACCTATGACCTACTAATGTTTAAGTCCTATATGTTCTATGTTTTGTTCAGTGTTCATTGTTGAATGTATGTGTATGATGATTATAAACAGATAAATTGTGACTTATTGAACTTAGCTTGGTGTCCCATATATATATATTATCGTGAATTGGATTTGATACTCTGTAATATATACACGACTTTTTTCATTATTACGTCATAGCGAGTAGGCGCGGCCATATTGATCACGTGACCTATCCGCCATTGCAATAGTGATCAAACGTGACAAAGATGTACAAGCGAGGAGGCGGCGAAGCGTGCGCTGTTGTTGGGTGCTCCCACAACCGTAAAAAATTACATGTTTGGAAAAAGGCGATGTGCGAGGGTCATGGAATTATTCACGAAGACTGACCGTGTTGTGTTCCATATAGCCTACACAAATTACCCTCGGACGAGGAAGTGAAGCGGGAATGGGTGGCGGCCCTACAATGAGGCTACATCGGAAAGATCTTCCAAAGAATGTGCGTGTGTGCTCTCAACATTTCATCGATGGCCGCTCGACAGAGCAAACCCCAACTCCAAAGATTAACCTTGGTATGTCGTCTTACTCTTTGATTCAGGGTTAACTGTAATTGTCCAAGTAGGCCTAGCCATGTTTCAAATTTAAGTTTAAGCTAAACTTTTATCGCTCAGTCATACTCGTGATGTATTCTAAAAATAGAACGGTTATTTCCAGCGACCGTAAACCACAGGGGTTTGTTACAAAATAATACACATTAAATTAATCCCTTGCTACGCTAAATAGCGACAGCCGGTCACCCTAATGAGTGTCCTCCGAGTAATGAGTGTCCTCCGAGTGTCCTCCGAGGTTTTTGCGCGCCCGCGAGCTCGTTATAAGATTTATTTCACTTATTTCTTCTGATTCCTAAATATTGTTCATATATCTAGGTGTGTGCAAAATTTAAGGTCGATCGTAACAGTACAAAGTACCGAAATACGTCGATAAAAATGCATATTTGGGAAGAATGAGTGTCCTCGGAGGTTTTTGCGCGCCCACGAATTCGTTATAAGATTTTTTGCACTTTTTTCTTCTGATTCCTAAATATTGTTTATATATCTAGGTGTGTGCAAAGTTTAAGTTCGATCGTAACAGTATAAAGTACCGAAATACGTCGGTAAATACTATTTTCACGAGGTTGGATTGAGTGTCCACGGAGGAATGAGTGTCCAGGTAAGTGTTCGCGAGCCCGATAATTCGTTAATCCATTTATTTTACTTCTGTCTTCGGATTCATAAATATTTTTAACTTACCTAAGTGTGTGCAAAATATCAGGATGACCATAACAGTATAAAGTACCGAAATACGTCGATAAATACTATTTTCACGAGGGTGGATGGAGTGTCCACAGAGGAATGAGTGTCCAGGGATGTGTTTGCGCGCCCGGGAATTCGTTAATCGATACTTTTTACATCTGTCTTCGGATTCATAAATATGTTCAACTTACCTAACTTTGTGCAAAATGTCAGGTCGATCATAACAGCAGAATGTATCGAAATTTATCGTTAATTATATGCCTACGATAACAGCTAAGAGTTGTACATGTAGTTATATACGAGTTACTTCCCTTCCAAAGCATTCTCTGCCTATTTTGATAGCCGTTACTAAAGGTATTTAATTTTGTAATACTTGTTAATTTCGTGATATATTTATATTCATAGTACTTACGACAATGTGTAATAAAATGTCTGTTGCTGTATAATACACATACGACCATCAACGTATATTGTTTGGTTTCAACAAATGTTATTGTGTTAACAAAAGGAA